TTTTAGACTAATGATGGACATCACCTTGACTGTAGCCAGGGCATCAGAAATGTTTGCTGACTTTTCCATGGAAGCCTCTTCATCTCTGTTGTCTTTGGGTGGTGTGTTGAGACACAGACTCGTACCTAATGCACCAGCCAGTTCTTAGCTGCATGTCACGGTGGCAGCCAACACTAATGGGATTAATTGGTCTTGACTGGTGGATTGTGAAAGTGTGTACCTCCAAGGGTTATAAACACCGAGCCTTAATTGAAATCAAATGTATATTTTATAAAAGCGTGTCCAGCAATGTAGGCTGCTTTCTATTTGGGTTTTGTTGATATTAGCAATGGTATAGAAATCTGATAAAGAAGGTTTGCTGTCATTACTGCTTTGAATACAAACTTGTACTTCTTGGCACTCCAGGTAGCTGATTAGAGGAGGGGATAATATTCAACTTGATTATTGGTTATACATATGGAATAAATCCCATTTTAATGGAGTCTAATGAGCCTTTCATTGCTAGAACCTTACACAAAGGCTTCTAATAGAAAGAGAAAGTAATATTTCAAAGGTCATCTGAATGTTACTGAATGTCAACAATCTGTAATCAAGCCAATATATATTGATGATGATTGCAGTCCAGCCTCATTCTTTAAATATGAAATAATTTTCTAAATTAGCAAAGCGATGCAAGCTAAGGTTCTTTAGGTCTGAGGGAACTTGAAGATGTCTAATTAAAGCTCGTTACTTAAAACCAGAATTGAAGAGATTTTTCTCAGAATGAGGCTTCATGCCATGAAGTATTTTCAAGGCCCATGAGATTTAAAGTTCTGTTTCTGGGAGTTTCATGCCCTGGTCTCCCTCATGCCTACAATTCCACCAAAATGTGCAAATGGAAAACGTGAGTCCTTCCCAGTGCTTTTCCTCAACAGGAGACTGTAATGGGCAGTGGTGGGTGTGTCGTTGTGCAGGAGGCCACAGTGAGAGACATATTTCAGAACCAGACATCTAACTGGTGGCAAGTTTGAAAGCCATGACTTTAAAGAATTTCTAGTGAGAGATTGGCATTCTGGGAGTTCTGTCTCACTTGCTTGTGAATGATGATTATTCTTCCCTACCCTGGTGTGAACGGTTCTGTTCCTTGGATAGCTGCTGCTTTATGAATTCAGATAACTGAGCCTGGAGCAGAAATGGTGAATTGTGGCACTTTCCTCTGTCGTTGGATTTGCATAGTTAATGGAGGATGTTCGCAGCATAGATGGCCGAATTTAAGTTCAGGGGTGGATTCAGAGAATCCCTCTTCTCTGAAGAGTTCCCTAAGGGTGCTGATACGGTCTGAGCGCCATGGCTCTGAGCGCCGTTGCTCAGAGTGTGATCCCTCCGTTGTGTTACCTGCTGGCGTGTTACCTGTCCAGCTGTACATACTGTCTTCGGCTTCCATCGTCTTTCTAGGAGTAAACATTGAGTTCTATCATTTTTACCTCCCAGCAGCTGTGGACCATGCTCACAGGGTTTGTTCGGAGGGCAGGTGCTTTTTAGATCAAATGAATAGCCAGGATAAAATAGTTCACGCAGCCCAAGTAACTCCGTGAACACCAGTTCCCACTTTTACTGTTTCTCTGTTCATATTTTCTTTTCCTCTTTTTTTTTTTTTTTTTTTTTTTTTTACCTTACTTTATTCCTTCTTCTTCCCTTTTGAACTCTTAAGTTTGATGGTGGTTTGGTTTTCTTCATCTTCCATTCTGTCTGTTTTTGAGTTCAGGACAAATCAGGGCTTGTATGATCCAGCTGTGGGTTATTAGCCTATGGATTCATGGCTTCAGAGGCAATCTAGGAAGAGGAGAGCCTGTGATAAAGCTTGAAGTTTTGCAGGCGCTGAACCACAGCAGGGGTAAAGAACAGCCACTTGGCAGTGCCTGTCTTAGCTCTCTGGGTCTATCTTGAATGATGGGGAACCACACTGAGAAAACATGGCAATCAAACCCAAGATGTCCTCCTAACCATCCTGACTTTCTATATTCAGGTGTTTGTCTACACGGCTCAACACCTTCCACAGCTATGTAGAAGTCATGAAAACAGTTAAGATTAAAAGACACCCAAATTCTTAAGCTCTTCAAGAATCCAGTTTTAGCGTTTTGGGCTGTTTTTTTTTTTTTTTAATTTTAATTTTTTATTTTTTGAAAGCGTGCCTAAACGTTTGCTTTATTTTTAAGCACTTGCCTTTAACTGAACTTGTGAATGTAGGGGCAAAACTGCCCCAGGGAGAGGAAATTCCTGTGCTGAATTACAGGGTTATTCCCATAATGGATGATAACACTTCATTATAAAATTGCTCACTTTTAAGTTCCATCCAGATGCCATTAGAGAGGCAAACAGCACCTCCTTCTCTTAGAGTCTCTGCTGTCGAGTTCACCCAGGTGGCTCCGACCCACTGTGTGTTAGGCCTTCCAGCAGGCCATCGTTCAGTCCTGGAGGACCCGGTCCACACAGTCTTCAAGTGCGTTAGTTTCTCAGCGAGAGTGAGAGCTTGGTGTCTGTGAGAAAGCTCTTGCATCCAGGAAACTGCCTTCTGAGGACTGCCTCCACTCAGAGCCTCTCTTCACTAGTTTCCCCTGCAGAATACTGCTCTGCCTCTGTCTGTTCTCTGGCCACCCTTGTCCCTGACGGAACATCCGACGTCATCCAGGTTTTCAGTATTTTACAAATTGTCTTCCTGCTGTCATATTCCATCTGGATGCCCATGTTGTCACTCATCTTTGCTTCTTCATGTGGTTTGGGTATTCTGTTTTTCACTGATTTACATGGAATGCCAGACCTTTTTTCTTTTTCTTTTTTAATCATTGTGTTAATGGTAATAATAGCAATCAGTCCAATCCTAAGCAGACATCTAAGTGGACATTGAATAGAAAGAATGAACAGTTGCTAGCTGCATCTACCTTACTTGTGAACACATGGACAGTTTGAGTCCTGCAAGCACGGAGCTGGGTTTCTCTTTCTGTGGCAGAAGTGGGGGAGGTGTCTTATCTGGCACTCAACAGAAACTCTGTTAATTCAGCTATCACTGCTCTCCATTCTCGCGGTTGTGCTCAAACAGTGCAGCTTTCTCTGTAAGCTTTGAGGTAACTGTGGAGGGGCAAGAGATTGGGGGACACCCAAATCTGGGTACATCCGACTGGAACTGGCACCAGAAAGACATCTGCCCTACAAAAGAGCCTTAGTAGGAGCGCGGCTATGGGCCCAGTATGTCCAAAACCACAAGCTCATTTCAGACCTAAGTGTGCTCCACCAGGTAATTCCAAGGAAAATAAATTGAGCTCCAAGACTTTGCTCTTGATTCTTCATCCAGAGTGAACCTTAAAAGCAGATGTTTGCTTGGCAGAGCCCTCTTAGCTATGAATTAGGAGTTAATTTAGAACCCTTTGATTCTTAGACTTGAGATCTATTTGAAAATTTGCAGCAGTAAGGCCCCACAAATTCCAGAATCTACCCCCACCCCAAGCAGTGTGGCATTATGTAGACTTGGCTGTAAAAAAGTCGTCAGCTTTGTCAGCATTCTTCCTTCGTTCAGGCTAAATTTATTTTTTTATGTGAAATAGAAATCAGGAAAACACCAAAAATTATTTTAAGCAAAATATCAAAATTGAAATAAACCAACATATGTCTGTGAGACATGTATAACTCTCAATCAAAAATAAGCACAACTTTCATAAATTTCTTAAAATACTCCAGCATGCAGAATGTGATCAGCTTGAATAGATGGGGAGTTGTGACATAGTTGACTATTTTTTCTACAGTTAGTTCATCCTTTACTTAAGGATAAAATTTCCAGCTGCTGAAACCTTCACGACCAGAGTCCTATACTGTTACAGTCAGTGAGGGAACCAAGACATTTTATGAGGACCTTGCAGCACAGCTAAGTCACGTTGTCTAATTTCAAATGGAAACAGCCCTTCTCTTAGTGTCCTTATTTTTATCCTCCCCTGTATTCATTACTTTCCTCTAAACAAAACACAACACTCAAGATTTCTTAAAAGCAAAGCATGTTTTGTTTTCTGTATCCTAACCTTAGTGGAATTAAATGTATTACAATCATGTAAGTTTTCTAGGGCTTCTGGTAAGTCTTCTACCTTTGTTCTTCACTTACAGCTTCCTTGCTGTATTTCCTTACTGTCACTTTAAATGTTAGCATCACTGTGACCCTATAATAGTAGCTGATAATTTACCCGAAGAAGTGGTAGTATTAACAAGCTACAGGCATACATTTAAAAGCCATCTGATTCGTATCTAGGTAGTGAAATTTTTAAAATAAATAACAACAGTAACAAATGTAATAATAGTAAGAGGTTACTTTGTTTGAAATTATTTAGCACTAAGTAAATTCTCTGTCTCCTAGCTCCCCTTAGAAAAGCATTTTAAGAACTTACTAGGCTTGGCAGCCCTCTACATGTTAACACTGGCCACTCACTTGGAAGTTGAAAAACCTGACAAATACTGAAGAGCAGGAATGATTGAGTTGGTCTAGCGGGTACCTGCTTCCCTCCTCCTGTATTCTTAGACCTTCCCTGCCTTTTCCTTTCTCTGTCACAGATCACTCTGATTTCTCTTGTTGTTATTGTTTATTTTTCAGCTGTTGAAAAGTTTCTTCCTTCCCAGTTCCTTCAGTGTAGAACAACTTGGAAATAGAAAAGTATGTTAATTTTTTTTTTTAAATAAAGTGACAAGATATGGATTACTATGTTTCTAGTGATCGAGCCAGATGGCTCACAGTGAATAGTCTCTGACATAAACCGTCACAGAAATCAGTTTGGGACTGAAATCTTGTATGGAATGTGGCATGTATATGCTGTGGGGAAGATGCAATTCACATAAACACACGGCTATTTTTAGAAGCAATATTTGTTGTTGTGTGGATTTAATTTCATCTTACTGTTAGCTAAGTACAAACTAATGGTTGTTTTTCTTCCCAAGAATCAGGCTTTGGGTCCTCTCAGTAACTAAAACTTACTTTCTTTTCGCAGTTTGAAGGCTGCAAGAAGGCTTTTTCAAGGCTGGAGAACCTCAAGATTCACTTGAGGAGCCACACGGGGGAGAAGCCATACCTGTGCCAGCACCCAGGCTGCCAGAAGGCTTTCAGCAACTCCAGCGACCGTGCCAAGCACCAGAGGACGCATCTTGACACTGTAAGGATGGCAGGGGCTGGCCACCTTCCAGCCTCAGCTGTGTGCGCCAAAGGTCCCCTGTGATGGTAGGATGCTGCAGGTGCTTTCTGACCTTCAGGACACAGGGGGCAGTGCCAAGCATAGGAGCAGAACACAGTGAACTGCCCACAGGGAGACCTTGTATGTCTCCTTCCTTCCTTCCTTCCTTCCTCCTTCCATCCGTCCTTCCTTCCTCCCTCCCTCCCGTCCATCCGTCCTTCCTTCGCTTTCTTTTTATAGTTGTGAATTTTGTGACAGAACTTTCTGGGACCCAGGGTTAGTCCCTTCTCTGTAGAGAGCAGAAGCAGTTCGGGGGCTATCATGCAGTAGCTGTAGGCACACAGAACGGCCACCAGAGATAATTAAAGCGTTTATCAGTTTATCAGGCGTTACCACAATAGACAGTGTATGCAATTGGGAAGAACATGAAATGCAGTGTTCATGTGCTGACCCTGTTTCTTTTTCTCTTGACCTAACTTTTCAGACAGCATGGCGTTGAGCACGAATCCGGTCTCTTGCTTTAAAAAAAAAAAAAAAAAAAACCTCTGTTATTTCTACCTGCAATTGATCTAAAATGACAAAGCCAATCTTTCTCTGAGTTCATTTCATACATGCTTTTTCTGTGTTAACAGTCACACATCCTTTTATATCAACCTTATGAGAACAATTGAGTTTTTATTTTCACACCCATAACTCCCTTAAGGCTGCCACATTTTGCTCTTTGCAAATGCTGTTTCTGTGTAACTTTTGTCTTTTATTTCCCCCCATTATGCTGATAGCACTTTGCATTCTCAAGCTTTGATGCCATTTTCTTTACAGGAGGCCAGGTAGATGCTGTGTAATTTAGCTTTACTTAACAAAGCCGTTGGGATAAATGTATTATACACACCGCGGATCTCTTATCCCACGTTCTGGCAAATAATGTATTCATGACAGTACTTTCCCAGAGTTAACATTCTGATGCCTATTATTAAACTACACCAGACTTTGAATTTTGAAAAGATACTGTGATTTCTACACACCTTCTCATACATATTTAAGATTCTTCTGATGTTATAGTTGACATATTTATTACATTTTATATTAGTCTCTATTAGTCATGTTTGTAGAAGTTGTTTTAGCTATGTATGTCATTTAACCGTTCTTAACAGAAATATCTCCATATATATATTATATAAATGTGGTGATTTATCTGGTAAATACATGAAGCATATGTAGCACAATATGGGCTAAAGATAGATCTTTTCTGCTTTAGCCAAAATGAAGTTATTGATTTGTTCAGGTCCAATAGAACATAGTATTAAATAAATAATGTGAAAAGTGCTAAAATGTTTCAACATATAAAAGTAGTAATTATTTGTTGTATCTTAAATGGTCTTGGTCTAATCTCGTATATTTTTCAGTTTGCCATTAAACCTTATCATGAAAGTGTGACCATTTATAAAACAAGATTGTCTGGAGAAATTGTTCCAACTAACCAGTCCTCTGTAGTTTCAGAGCTGTCCTTGAGGAAACCTGTTTTATTACAATACCCCTCTTTGGATAATCACACAAAACATTTTATAATAAAGTAATTTCACCATTAAAAATGTATAGCTCTTTAAAAAATATTTTAAATAAAACTGCCTAAGGTAATGATTTTTTTTGTTTTTGTTTTTATTTATTTTTTTAGATTGTGTCAGAATATATATATATTCTTTAATTTTTATTAGTTACAGTTTATTCACTTTGTATCCTTCCTGTACCTCCCTCCGTCCTCCCCTCCCAGTCCCACTCTTCCTTTTCCCCACCTGTGTCCCTCTCCCAATCCACTGAAAAGGAAAGTCCTCCTCCCCTTCACTCTGATCCTAGACTATAAGGTCTCATCAGGACTGGTTGCATTGTTTTCCTTTGTGGCCTGGTAAGGCTCCTCTCCCCCTCGAGGGGAGGTGATGAAAGAGCAGGCCAATCAGTTCATGTCAGAGACAGTCCCTGTCCCTATTACTATGGAGGTCACTTGGATACTGAACTGCCATAGGCTACCTCTGTGCAGGGGTTCCAGGCCATCTCCATGAGTGGTCCTTGGCTGGAGTGTCAGTTTTAGAAAAGACCCCTGTGCCCAGACTTGATTTTTAAGACTTGAATTTAATTCAGCATGTCTTAAAACTCAGTCATTTTTATCTTGTTAAAAAGGTTTTCTGTTACACCTGTTAAAACTATCATTTCTTTCTTAAGATCCAAACTGTCTCCTATTTAAATATTTACTGCCTTGAACAAATTGGTAAGCTCTTTTAAGAGCTTATAGAAATTAATTGCTTGTTTTCCAAAGCAAACTGAAGCTGTTTGAAGAATTTGTAACTTAAATTTAGGTTCCTCTTGATTAATCACTCCTTCTACAAAAGCTGTCATGATTTTTGGATAAAAGTATCTTTTCAACCAAACAGATTCGTTACTCAGAAAAGTAGTTTTTCCACAAAGGTATTGAGTTCATTATAATAACAGTGAAATTTTATATTAATACATTTTTCTAATAGCATCTTAAATCTAAACAAGAGAAGTAATTATTCAGGATAGCTGGAAAATAATGAAATGGCTCTGCTGATGGAGTATAGAGTGCCATTTCAGGCTTAGGTAATTAGTGATAAAATGATGGAGATTGCACTACTATTCATACCACAGCCAGAGAGCTGATTGGGCTTCCTGGTTCCAAGTGATGGGGCCAAGGGGAAGGAATGGTTATATTAAAGCTTTCTCCAAGAGTATCTCAAATCAAGTGAAAAGTGGCATCTCCAACTCTGTGTAGAGCAGCATAGGCTTCTAGAGCACATCAGTGCTCACAAAATTTCTTCCATGAAGTATCATCTCTTGATCAAAGACATGAGTGTATCTGTTCCTGTTCAACCTGACAGTAAGGGAATATTGGCAGCTTGCTCTTCTGAGGCAAATGCAGAATAGAAAAAGCTAGTTCAAGAAGGCTGGGTGAAATAAGAAAGAAGGATTCCCAGGTTAAAGCAAAATCTTTGTTCCCCCATGGAAACCTCCGATCAAGTGGCTTTGCCAATAATTTCATGTTTTTTTAAATAGTTCATCATTTTTTGTTAGAGTTTCTTGGAATTAGATACAGTGCCCAGCTCATTGATCTGGAAGCATTTTTAGGTCATCCATTCATTCATTCAGTCAATCAGAATCAGTTGAGATCAGTCAGTTGAGTAAGCACAGTCAGTATTCAAATTGAGTGTTTCAAATTCAAGGCTATACCATGATTCTAACTTGTTCTTGAAAGAAAATAAAAAGAAAAATGTTAGTGAATTCTAAATATTCCTTCCAGTAAGCAAATAGGAACATCCACATGTTTAATCAAAATGATAAGCATGGCACCAGATCTCATTATGGATGGCTGTGAGCCATACATGTGGTTGCTGGGAATTGAACTTAGGACCTTTGGAAGGGCAACCAGTCCTCTTAACCTCTGAGCCATTGCTCCAGCCCAAAAGATACACAAGGTATTTATTCACTCATAAGTGGATATTAGACATATAATATAGGATAATCATACTAAAATCTGTACACCTAAAGAAGCTAAGCCAGAAGGAGGAGGATTCTGGGTAAGATCCTTGCTAAATCTTCATTTAGAAAGGCGAACAGGGTAAACATCAGAAAGAAGGTGAAAATAAGGAACAAGACAGGAGCCTACCACAGAGGGCCTCTGAAAGACTCTACCCAGCAGGATATTAAAGCAGGTGCTGAGACTCATAACCAAACTTTGTGCAGAGTACAGGGGAAGATAGAAAGACCTGGAAGTGTCTGGAGCTTCACAAGGAGAGCAACAGAGCCAAAAAATCTGGGCACAGGGGTCTTTTCTGAGACTGCTACTCCAAACAAGGACCGTGCATGGACATAACCTAGACCCCCTGCACAGAAGTAGCCCATGGCAACTCAGTGTCCAAGTGGGTTCCCTAGTAAGGGGAACAGGGGCTGTTTCTGACATGAACTCAGAGGCTGGCTGTTTGATCACCTCCCCCTGATGGTGGAGCAACCTTACCAGGCCACAGAGGAAGACTATGAATGACAGTCCTGATGAGACCTGACTGATAGGGAGGTCCTCTTCCCTTTCCCGCTGATCCTAGCCTATCAGTGGACATGGAAGGGTCATGGGAGGAGATGAGGGAGGGAGAGAGGGAGGATGAAATTGGGAGGTGACAAGGGTGGGACTATAGCTGGGATACAAAGTGAATAAATTGTAAAAAAAATAAATTATATTAAAAAATAAATTTAAAAATGATAAGCATGGGAAAACAGGAGCATGACAGTAAGAATAGTCATGGCGTCCATAGCATAGCAGGCTTCCCAGAGCAAGAATCTTAACACCAAGAATTCAGGTTTTTCTCATATTTCACTATACAGGCCCAAGTCTCTTTCTCATAGTAGATGATAATTCATCTCCTGTATACAATTAATCCCATTTTGCTTTTGTTTTTTAAGTTCTTGGAATAAATGTGATTTTTTTTTTCACTTGATACCCATGGCATGGTCTCCAAACCCTTGATAAGACCTTTGTCAGTAGTAGGTGGTGATGCTGACGTCAGTATGGATTTGTGTTGTCCTTGCCCTCCCACCTCAGTCATGCATTCGTCTAACTGAGGTGCCAAGCACTTGGGGGCATCTCCATGTGCTTCCTGTCACTCTGCTGCCACGGAGACTTGGAACGGGCAAATTTGCGCCCTTGTCCTTCAGCCAAGGCTCATTCACATCATTCAGATGATTCTCTGTGACTGACGATACTACTGTTCCTCTGGCCAACTCTTCACGTGTCTGTTGTTTGAGACCTACTATTTCTTGCTTGCTTTACACTAATTTCTCCTTCTCAATTCTTTCCCTCTCTTTCTGTATCAGGTACCTACCCCCTGAACCGTACCCAGTCTTTTCTGGACTTTTCTACAGCTTCTTTACCTGAACCCTTAAAGAACCCGTTTAATATCTCTGACAGTACCAAAGATTTTCTCAGGGAAACATAACTGTAAGTATGTAAGTATGTAACTTTCACATTAAAAAATTCCACAAGAGGTTGTATGGTCACACTGCAGTGTCAGGTAATCGCTTCAAAAAAAAGTCGAGGATAGGGCATCTCTGTGGGGCATTGTCTGAGCTTAATCTTCCCGTCTCCGTGACGCAGAATTCCTGGGCGTTCTAATTAAACTGCATGAGTATTTCTCAGCACTTGACACCCGTCAGTGGGTAACAGTTCTCGCTCCAAGCAGTCTGAATAAACCTGACCCTGTCACCTTTACCATTTAACTACAGCTCTTTCTTTCTCTCTTTCTCATTCAGAAACCTTATGCTTGTCAAATTCCAGGATGTACAAAACGGTACACCGATCCAAGCTCCCTAAGAAAGCACGTGAAGGCACATTCTTCCAAAGAGCAACAAGCAAGGAAAAAGGTAAAATTCAAGGAGAATTTTGGTGCCAGGAAAAGGGTGTTTGAATTATGTTTACAGTATACAGAGTTTCTACAGGGCATTGGAATCCCCTGGCTTTGAAGCTGTCCTATGCTTGGTACTGAGGAGGGAAGTTTTCCCTGAGGCCTCAGCAAGGCTGTAGTTTGCACAGCTAATACGGTCATGTAACAATCTGGTAAAGCTGGTATATGAAAGTTGGAGAAAACCGATGCCAGCCACCAGCTCCTGGAGATGTTAATGACAAAAAAACCTTTATGGAAATTTCGGAAGTTCTATCTGGAGAGAAATCCTTTTTCATAAGAGTACCAGCTAGCTAGCTACAATCCTAATGAAGAACTTGGGCGACTCTTGAATCTAAGAGAGCATTCCCCATAGTTAGCTTGAGGAAAACTAGTTGATAGGCACTGTGCATGAAATCAGGGGTGGAAGGGGCATGGTGCTGAACTTTAATTGACTTTGACATCAGTGATGGATTCATACAGTTTTCAAAATCTGCAAATATCACGGTGTTAACAGATTTGGAATAAATGTCAAAGGTCGTCCAGCCAACCTGTCTTAACTTGCTCTGGGAATTTCTCACGGTACTGCAACTGGCTGGCCAGACTGGCCTTTGAAACCTTCTGAGGCAGGGGTTTCACTATCTTTAAAGTAATTTAACAACTGAGATTTTAGGGGCTGCAGGGGAACATGTGGGTGCATGAGTGTGCATGGGTAGAGACCAGAGGTCAGCCTCCGCTGTTGTTCCTCAGGAGCTGTCCACTTTGGTTTTCTTTGCACCTCTCAAGCAGTGAATACACATGCGAAAGTCACCACAGGGGTGAGTTTCACTCAGAGGGAACCCTGTTTAGTAGGATGTTCTGTTCAGGGAAGAAACACGTTGCCTTAACTTGGCTCTTTTGGTGTTACATTGTACGAACTGGGTCCTGACTTGTTTAAGTAAATTCAAGGGCTTGTTAAGACTCAAGTTACTTCAACTGAATGAACTCTGTGGCAAGAGTATTCAGGTCACTGTGGCGTTTAATCAGAATCATGCATTTTTTTTCTTAGTTTTTCTGGATTTGACAGTTGATGATGGGAAATCTTCTGTAGTCTCTTTGGCACTGAATTTCTTCTGTCTTGAGGTGCTGACTTGAGTGCCTTTTCTATTATTATTATTATTATTATTATTATTATTATTATTATTATTATTACTACTACTATTACTATTTACAATTTATTCACTTTGTATCCCAGCTGTAGCCCTCCCTCATCTCTTCCTGGTCCCCCTCCCTCTTTCTTTCCCCCCATGTCTCTCCCCTAGTCTATTGATACAGGAGGTCCTCCTCCCCTACCATCTGACCCTAGCCTATCAGGTCTCATCAGGACTGTCTGGATCCTCTTCCACAGTGGCCTAGTAAGGCCACCTCACTCGGGGGAGTTGATCAAAGAGTAGACAACCAAGAGCTCTTCAAGGAGACCAACAGAGCCAAAAAATCTGGGTCCATGAGATCCTGCAGAGACTGATGAATCAACCTAGGACCATGTATGGTAAGGACCTAAACCCCCTGCTCAGATGTAGCCCCTAGGTGGCTCAATCTCCATGGGAGTTCCCAGTAAGGAGAGCAGGGGCAGTCACAGGCATGAACTTGGTTGACTGCTCTTTGATCAACTGCCCCTGTCAGCCTGAGTGTTAAGGGCTTATATACAGAAAGTACTTAACCAAATCTTCCTTTTGAGAAAGAAAAACACTCAGCCTCAAGGATTTGGCAGATGTACTTAACTACTTACGAAACCAATCTTAGAAATCAATTGTTAATTTTTTTTCTCCAGAAATAGATTTAAATCTCTTTATTTGGAATTCCAATAAATTGTTATCCAGAATCGTTTGGCATGGACAGGGTGTGATTTGAATTTAGAAAGGCAAAGAAGTTTTATATAATGTAAAAAGCGGAAAGAACAGCGGCTCACCTTAAAATAACACATCATCACATTTGGAACCTTTAGCAGGGTCGTTGTCTTTCAGTTTTGTCATTGTCTGTGTCTTGTAAATTCAAAGGAATAAATTATGTTCATTTTGCAGAAGCCTGTTATTTCTAGGTGAGAATTTTCATTCTAAATCTGAACGTTCTCTGCCTCCACATTGTCCCTAATCGGTGAGCTTTTACTGATTAAGTCAAGCTTATCAGTAAGCTGAGAGCATCTTCACAGCACCTACTGCCCTGCAGGGAAGAGTATTAACCACCTATTGAGGCAAAACCAGTGATGCTCATTGGTTTGGAGACTCACAGGGTGTTCTTAGAGATTCTTGCTGCCTCTCACTGTGTAATAATGCTATGTTTTGGCCTCGTATGAAGGAAGAGTGGTTTTGACCATGATCGAGGCACTAATTGGAAAAGAAACACAGACTGTACAGTGTGATTGTATGTAGAGTTTACCGACAACTGTCAGCAGTCTAGGGAAGCACAGTAGGGCTTCTGATTGGTTGGATGACCTCATGTCAGACGCTGCAGTTCTTCCCTGATTCTGACTTACGGACAGTGAAGTCACGCCTCTCCCTTGGCTTTGTGTTGGCTTATGTCCACTCTGTTTCTACAGATGGCCGAATCTGATTTGGTTGACTTTCCTCTCTCAGTCCTCGGTGACAAATGTACAGTGTTTAGTTTCCAAAAGTCCTTTGTATGTCTGTGATGGCTAGTTCATGGAATTAAAAGTTGCTTCATCTAACAAAAAGAAGCAATGCTGCTCCCAAGAGAAGCAGCTGCTGATGAAATCCAAATCATTCCATCCGCACTGCTAAATCTCATGCCAGTACCCCAGCGTGTTAGATTTACACGGGACAGTATTGTCACTAGACCTCAGAGAGCTTCTAATTGCTCACTCACGTCAGGACTTGGTATTTGAAATATTTCCTGGCATCGTAGTAAAAAGAGAGAGAGAGAGAGAAAGAAACAATAAACCTTTTAAGGCAGAATTAAGATTATTTACGACTTTAATTAAAAATTGAAAACTGGCATGATTTCAAAAAGGGCTTTACAAAAATGTGAATTCATCAAAAATAACCATAAAAATTCCAAGGTGATAAAGGCACAGTGGAGTAATGGTCCCAGCCGTAGGGAATTGTTTTGCTGAAAAGAATAAAACTCTTTTCTGTCACACCCTGTTAGTCATGGACTTGATTAATATACCCTGCCTGCCCGCCTCCCTCTAATCCTCTTTTTAACCTCCTCCTAGATGCTAAATGACATTATTTTGGTCTTAACATAGCCAGCTTTATGAGGCCCGACTCTGAAATTGCAGCCAGTAACAAAGCATCAATAAAATAATGTATATAAGTAGAAGCAGGTTGCTCCTGAGTGGTACCCTGGCTGTGGGTGTAGGGTCTTTCCTGACTTATTGACACATCCCACTAAAAATAAGATGAACTGAAAATCTCAGCCAAACATTATTCAAGCTGCTTAAAGAAGGACAAAGGAAAGGAACAGCGGGACTGGGACAGTTTGGCTTAGTGCATGCAGAGAGTTGTTTCTCTGCAAAAAATCAAGCATGCACACACAGAAATACACACATCTTGTCAGCCAATAGGCATGCAGACTTGTTCATAGTTCTCGAGTCCCTTGAAACGGGGACACACTGATAAAACTAGTAGCAAAGTATTCAACCCACCTGTAAAGGTCTCCACTGAGAATAGAATTTAGCCTCCAGAGCAAAAGGTACAGAATTTGTCCTTCAATTCTCCCAGATGCGTGAGTGAAATAAGAGAAGACTACAGCAAATAAGCCACTTGAAATTCCTCTCAAGGCTGTGAGTTTTATCAGAATTTTTCATTTTCACCTTGGAAGTACCATGAACAGGGGTTTCCTTCAACTCTAGCCTATTGTCAGAATGGACTTTTTTTTTTTTTTTTTTAATGAATACAAGCAACGCCTGGCCAAAAGTTAGAGGTGACATGAAGCTCCAGCCACTTCACACTTCCAGAAAAATTCTGAACTCTATGGTGTGTGTGAGTTGCTAAATGCTTGTTAGACATTGACCTTTGATTGGGTGAACATCATTGGTGTTCCCTTTTGTGACCGCAACACAAGCAGTTGCCATTACATATGTTTATATCTCATACTTAGAGGCAGTTTTGTATCCTGGCTATGCGAGGGCAGCTTACTTAATGCCATTTCTCCAAGCGAAAGTGCTAATTCTTCAGACTATTTAAAGCCACCACCTTTCCCCAGAATCTCGTCAAAACTATAAACTTCATTAGGGAGGCCATGGACTCACATTGCATTGTGTAGTTTCTTGGAACCACGACAAGATAGATGGAAATAATAATTTTTTTTAAATTGGTGTAGGCAGGAAAATAATGAATGAAGCTCATTTTCCGTATTAATAGTGGTCTGTTTTGGCAGGTAGGATATATGTTCAACTGCTTCCCAGATTTCACAGTTCCTTTTCATTACTTCTCCCTTGTTCCTAGACAGGAATCAGATAAAATCACTGATAGTGTATTCAGAATGAGCCCGAAACACAGTTTGGGGCCTCAGGATAATTATTGTGAGCCAACTCTTCTGTCACACACACTTTAGTAACAGTATTACAGTGGATGTGTGTGAAGATGGTTCTGTTATAGGGATGATATTCAAGCAGTAAAATGTCCTTTTTTAACGACTAACAGACATCTGTACGTTATTATGTTGGTGATAAATGGTTAACATCACACCTCAGAACAATACTGAGACCCATCTGGATTCCCAGGCCACTCGGCTGAAAGGAACTTAATTTCAAGAACGTTTCTGGGAGATGCTCCTGCAAGATATTTTCAATGAATAATGGTGATGGTAATAAATGCTTTTATTTTAATAAAAATCAGCTTCACAAATCATCACCAATTCAACCATACATCGATAGTGATTGTTTCCTGGTGCTTCTGTGATACCCTGCCCCAGTGTAACGCTGCCTTTATTTCAGAAGCATTTTGTTGCTACATGGGAACAGGGAGGCTTAGAATAATGCAC